TGTACTCGTTAAATTCGTTTTCTGTTCGCATGAATCGGTTCGTAGTAAATATTACGGATTATTCTTATCTCTTGCCCACATAAATAATTTCCCTTTTAGTTAAAGTAGGTATTTGTATTATACTTGATTAAATGATATCGTGTAATCTATCAGACATAGGTTAGGATATTTAATACGACAATATAAGTGTGTTTTTGCGTTTATAAAAGATTGACACAAAGATATTTCGAAAAAAGAAAAATTCAAACAAGCAGAAGTACTAGAAGAAATAATCACTTGAGACTCTTTTGAATGGGTTTTAAATAAGAAATAATGCCCTTCTCTAGAGGAAGAGTAAATTGAATAAAGTCTAATATACAACACTCTGAGTCAGGCGAGTATAGATTTCAACGCGTGATGATAACCTTTGCAAACAAAAAATATGGTATTAACTATGTTACACGGGTTACTGAGAATGGCATCACCTGTATAGTGCCCATTGTTAGACATGGTCCGATCCGGTCGGGATATTTGTAACCACCCAGTTCAGTTTGTTACCATTTCCGCAGTATTGAGATGTCCTTTCTCTTTTATTAATGATCGTATAACCACAAAATACATCGTGAAAACGAAAATAGCACATATTAAATCGAACAGTAAGAAAAATACACCAAAATACGTCACTGTTTTATTGACGATGTTTTCTGAATTCTGTAGTCGTAGTATTAACAAAAACATTCTAAGTGACTGGGTAAGGTTAAAAAAAGGATGATCAGATAATTATATTTTATTTCAGATATAAAATTAATTGCAAGATAGATATTTGGCATGTAACTCAGGTCATCACGACATAACTTATGTCAACATGCTATGGCATGTGCCATTTTAAGTATTCCTAATTTCGTAATGTAAAGCAATATATATTAAAAAGACAAGAAATAATGCACAGGTGAAAAATAGCCGAATTATATCGACCTAAACGTGTCAAGTAAATAAAGATAAAGACATTTATAGTGACAATGTATTGAATAATGTAAACACCTCAGCTTAGAACTTCGAAAAATAAATCAGAGTATTCGATTCTCTAAATGAAATAATGGAAACGTGACGTATTAGATTATTATTAGATTATATATTCGATTAAATTTGCGCATGGGCAAGGAGTTAGAAATCTCACTTTCTGACTATTCCATTTTCACTTTTCGAATCGGAACAAAGTCCATTTGTTAGGAAGCTTACTTATTAATGATATTGGGAAGACTGACCTAATGCCACGAGTGAAACTGGATAGACTGAACTATTTGGTACGCGCTCGCACGAGGTCACAAGTCATTGACTTACATAGTTTTAGTTCTAACAACAAGCGATCTATGTGGGTATTGAACAGGAAAGATCTACCTGAGCAGGCCTCTGTGACAGGGATTGGCTAACTGCCCTATCAGACGAGTGTACTCGGAAAATGAATGTTGGCAATTATAAGGTCGATTAAAAAGTAATTATTTGTTCAAACTGTTTACAAGTAGACAATGATGTAATATATAAAAGAAAATGTACGCAAACTCAAAACAAAAAGGAAAGAAAAGAGTAGTTTACTTCAAAATATGGACTTCGATGACACACTTAGTGATGCCAATGTCATGAAATTATTTTTTATCAATTCTGCGTTTGATTAATATACGTCATTATTTTTCGATTTCTTTTTGTTTGTCCTCGCGGTCAGAATTTTATCAAGCTAAAGTTACTGATAAAAAGCAACTGAGAAGGTAGAGTCAAACTCATAAATAATAACAGTAATAAAAAGAGTTTATCCACTCAGAAGTTTAGTATAAAAAGGAAAAATGATAACAAAGAGTAAAACTATTATTATTATTATTATTATCATTATTATTATTATTATTATTATTAATAATAATAATAATAATAATAATCTCAAAAATCACCTTCCATCTGTTCTTAACCGAACAAGAAATGAACCTACTATATTTTAATCCTCATAGAGAACAATTTTTGCCATTCATCAGCATGGCAGCTGATGCTAACCTCCAGGAGAGCCAATCATTGCACCTTCTTGGTCTCAGTGACATGAGGTGAAAAAAGTATATTGGATCAAAAGTTAGGCCAGCTGCTAGTAATTTTGATTTACTGTATCGTACTAGACAGAATTCCTCTCTGGAATCTACCTCAAAAAGTCTACCATGCATCTACTGAATATTGCCACCGCATCTGGTCTGGTATTTCTGCTATGTATTGATAAAATCCAAAGAAGAATCTGAAGTTGTGTCGGTCTGACCTGGCAGCTAGGCTTTATTTCATTTCCTCCACCATATCTTAGCTTCCCTGTAACGTTTAGATAAATATTTTTATGGTAATTGTTCTGACGATCATTCGTCTTTGGTACTTTAAGAAACGAATTGCTGTAATAGATTGATCATTTTACAAATGACTTGGCAAAAGATGTAACAATAAGTTGTGTGTGCCAACAGTTTCTTCTCTCTCGCTTCTTGCTTGTTGATTTCCTTTCTAGCGTCACGCTTTCCAATCAAACCTGATCTTTAAAAATGTAAATGCAATATCAATCGCCATCTTCACTCTCCTTGTTCTTTTATTATTCGCATTATAATAATGTTTTTTCGACAGGTTCTTTTATTTCCAGTAAGACCTTGCCTAAACATTTCCCATTAAATTTTCACTCTCTTCAGATCATCTTATGGGCGCGCAAAAATTACGAGCACATCACCATGTTTATATATTTTTGAAAAGTACATATTTAAGAAAAAAAAAGCAAAAAAAAATATCCAGTATGTGCAAATGAAAAGCTTCTTTTTGCCGTATACACATAGGGCATTGCGACACGTAAGAGCTTAAATGGGATAAGCAAAATATCATTATGCAACAAAATGTAATAAATATCTCAACACTTCGAAAAATACTTATGACACCTCTGAAACACAAAACAAAACGTTATATAGATGAAAAATACAAAGAAACAGTACTTGATTTCAACAATTTAAATCATTTTGACATTTGCTTAGAGGAGAAAGTAGCAATAACCAACCTCACGCCCAGAAAAATAAAATAAAAAAAAAACATCTAAACAAAAGATGCTGTCTTGATGGTGTGTCGCCTTCACGTGGTAGGATGACATGTGTGCTTCAACGACCCCCAGAGCCATGTGCACGGGGTTTTGGCTCTTAGCAGGTCCATCCAAGCTCAACAGGTCTGTGTGGTAGGAGCCAGACGAAAGACAGCCTGGTTCACCAGGTTGAGGGTTGTGCAGTAGCATCACAATCTACTCACTTAAAAACTGACTTGTTACAGAAACTACAACGATATCTTCAAACAACGACATGGCCAAGGGAGAGTCCTCCAAAGTTGATTGTATGGTGAAATCCCTCGGGAAGTCAGTGCGCCGACAATTTTCTGACGACTAAGTCAAAAACCAGGACAGGGTCATGGAACATTAGAACTCTATACGAGACCAGCAAAATAACGCAGGTCTGCAGAGAAATGCACAGGTACAAATTGAAGATCCTTGTGCTGTGTGAGACAAGATGGAACGAAACTGGGAGAACAAGACTAGCGAGTGGAGACACCATCATCTACACTGGATAGGAAGAAGGCTAATCCCAAACACATGAAATAGCTGTGCTGCCCTGGGGACCGTTATCATCACGGATACTGACAGTAAGGTTCAACTCCAAAGGCAGTAACAAATGCCACAGAGATGCAAGTTAAAGAGACTTTCTAGGAGCAAATCCAAGGCATCATGGACAAAATACCAAAAAGAGATCTGAATATCCTCATGAGAAACATGAATGCAAAAATGGGAGAACTGACCATGGGCAGATATGAAAACAGACAACAGAATGAAAACGGCAAACATTTTACTGAGTTCTGAACATTGAAGACACCATCTTTCCCCACAAGACCATCCGCAAGACCACCTGGATTTCGCCTCATGGAAAGACCGAGAACCAAATCGACCACATCGGCATCAGCCGAGAATGGAGAAGGTGCTTGCATGACGTCAAGGTGAAGCAGGGAGCAGACGCAGCATCAGACCCCGACTTCATTGTTGCCATCCTCAAGACCAAACTGAGAGCCTACAACGACCGGGCAGGAAGAGTATCTCACAATTTCAATGCGAATAGCCTGAGAAAGAGAGAAAAAGTGTTAAAATCAGAGGAAATTCAAGCTGGAACTGAGGAACAAGTCTAGCCTGCTTTCCCAGCTGTCAGAAGGAACAACACAAGAACAGTGGCACAGTCTGCGCGATAACTGGAAGAAAACATGCCAAGCAGTCTTGGAGAAGAAAACAAGGAAATACAAAGAGTGGTTGACAAAAGAAACATAGGCATTAATCACCGAAAGAAAAGAACTGAAAGACCAGATCAACCAGACCCAAGACCTACAAGAGAAGCAGGAATTTTAAACACGCTACTGGAAGAAGAACTGAGAAATGAAGAGAAGTGTGAGAAAAGAAATGAGAAACTTCACGGATGACGTGGTCCAGGAAGCAGAGGTTGCAGCAGGGGAAGCAAGCATGAAAAGTCTGTATGAAATCACAAGCACTCTCTCTGTGAAAAAAAAACATTAAACCCAGTTGCCCCGCCAAAGAACGGAATGCCAGTACCTTCTCAGGGGAAACACTGTAGCAGACATCCAAAATTCAACTGATATTCTGCACCCACTCCTGCACAAAATATGGGTGCAAGAAAAAGTGCCTGAAGAGTGGAAGAAAGGACACCTTGTGAAGCTGCCGAAGAAAGGGGACCTGTCATCCTGCAACAAGTGTAGGGGCATTATGCTGCGGTCCATCCCAGGGAAAGCACTGACAAAAATCATCATAGAGAGACTAAAGACACTTCGAGAAGAACAGGCAGGCTTTCAGCAAGATATATCATGCACAGACCACATCGCTACAATGCGCATCATCCTCGAACAGTCCCTGGAATGGCAGACCGCCGTGTAATCAATCTTCGTCTACTTTCAGGGAACTTTTGATAGTCATCTAGAGATTGATGCATCACGAGGACTTTCCGCCAAAGTTCTTCACCATCATCCAACAACTGTATGAAGATGTCACCTGTCACGTTATGCATGACGGGAAGTTGATGGAACCATTCTCTGTGCAAACTGGTGTTCGTCAGGGTTGCCTACTGTCGCCGACGATCTTCCTGCTGGTATTCGACTGGATAATGCGACAGACCACGACAGGCATGAAGCAGCTGTAAGATCTGGACTTCGCAGACGACACCATCCTTCTGTCCCTTGCACAGAAGAAGATGAGTCTTGTTGCAGAAAAAGCGGAGAAGACTGGCCTCCAAATCAACATCGGGAAGACAGAGGTCATGAGAGTAGACAACACACAACAAGACCCATTGCTACTACACCAAGAAGACATCAAAGAAGTCGATGTTTGTCTACCTGGGAAGCATCCTCAGCAAAGATGGAGAGGGAGGATTAGGACATCAAGTACCGAATCAACAAAGCCCGACAGGCATTCAAAACTATGCGGCGAGATCAACAACCCTCTCACTTTGCAACAAGATCCGGATCTTCAACACAAACGTCAAGTCGGTCCTACTTTACGACTTAGAAACCTGGCATTATATAGTTCAGACATATACCAACCGATATCCCAGGAACATCTTCAATATCAGGTGGCCGGAAATCTTCTGTAACGATCAACTATGGGACAGTACCAGACAAGAAACGGAAATGAGAACGGATCGGCCATACACTCCACAAGCCTACGTCTAGCGTCACCAGTCAGGTCCTTAAGTAGAATCTACAAGGGAAGCGAAAATGGGTCGACCAAAACAGACTTGGCGTAAATGTGCTGACACAGAGATGAAGGCAGCCGGCACGACTTGGGCCGAGTTGAAGAGAATCGCCCAGAACGCGTCCGTTGGAAGGGTGTTGTTGCGGCCCCATGTTCCCCAAGGAATCAAGAGGCATAATATATATATATATATATATATATATATATATATATATATATATATGTGTGTGTGTGTGTGTGTGTGTGTGTATAAAGAAAAACAGACCACTTTAAGGTACCATTATAATAATTTATTTCACCAGCGCCCTTTTAAAGGACGGCAGATAATCAGATAGCACTTCCAAAATTCATGAAAATTCATTTCATTTTTGGAAGTGCTTTTCTGATGATTCGTCCTTTAAAAGGGCTCTGTGAAATAAATTATTATAATGGTATTTTAAAGTGGTCTGTTTTTCTTAAAATATTAGCTCTGGATTTACATTGAGCTCCCAGGATTTCATTCTCCTTGGGATTACCCATACGGATTACCAAGTTTTTCATAACTATATATATATATATATATATATATATATATATATATATATATATGCAAAAGATGAGAGATCATTTCCAAATGTACACGTGAAAAATTTCCTTGAAGGCTGCATATAATTATATAAGGAATCTAGAGTCTAAAAACTAATAACCTATAACATATCTTGCAGAATGTATTTTAAATACCGAAGAAAGAAAACTAAAAAAAATACAAATAAAATAAGACCATAAATAGAAATATAACTAGATAAATAAATTTAACTCAAGGTCATGTCTATCAAATTATATAACATACGAATCTTAAGCAAAATAACAAAAAAATAAGATGGCAAAAACCTGAAACTTCTTTACTCACTTCCTATTAAATTTAAACTGCCTATAGAGAGGGAACGCGCTCAAAGTGGTGTAACACAACTACTAATAATCGCTTAAACTTTGAAACTAACAATAACCATGATTTTTTGAATTCGATATCCCAACTATTCTATCTATCTATCTATCTATCTATCTATCTATCTATCTATCTATGTGTATGTACGCGTAAAAGTAAGTTCGTATGCATCGTTAGTCGTCTTGCTGATCATGATTCACCTCCGATATCATTCTAATATTTCCTGGTGATTCTAGATTCAGTCAACGAAAAGATCTAGTGTTACTCTTTTTGCCGATCTTAAAAACGTGTTTTAGAACGTTTCGTGGATGAAGCCAAAGTCTGATATTAAAAGATTGAAAAGGAAATAACAGATTCTGTCCCGGCCTTTGCACCAAATTCATGCGTGGTTGATTTCAGGAATTCTTCCCATAGTTCGTCAGCCATGTCGATTTTTATTCCTCGTAAAATGTAATGAGGCGAACAAGGGAATATTACAGCAACCAAAGTATTTGAACCATGAAGGAAAGAGAATGGATTCTAAAGATGGTTACAACGAAACGATATCTGCATGGTGTCATGCACGTTTGATAGCTTTAATTGTAAAGGAGAAGATACAATCAACTCCGAACGTTGTCCATTTTTTGCTGTTCTTTTTCATTGTACCTTATTTTTCTTCACATTTTTTATTTCACTATTGATTCTTTTGCTCCAGCTTTTTGACATTTCTTTTAGCCGATTTCTCTTTTCCTTCTTATTTTTTCTAGTTTATTTTTCCTCATTCATTATTTGAAGGGAATTATTTTCCTTTTTCTTACTTTTATTTCTTTCTTCGATTATTTCCGTTTTCCGCTTATCGTGTTTTCTTTTTAAATTTTTTTTATTGTTTTATTTGTTCCTTTCATTTTTGCATAATCTTGCCTATTGTTTCACTTTAATATTTGCTTTTTCTTCGCTTTTTTATTTTCACTTATTGCATACATATCATTTATCTTTTTCTTTCACTTCCTCGTCTTTTTTTCTTTCTCTTCTAAGTTTTTTTCTTTTTCTCTTTTTCTTTTCCATCATATCGGTTCTCCGTTTCTTTTCTATGTCTTTTTCCCTTACCTGCGTAACTATCTTTTGTTCTCATCATGACACATTTTTCTTCGATAATTTAATGTGGATTACTCCCACTGCCACTCTAGTGGCACCGCCTACCACGTATTCGATTTCAATTAAGGTCATAGTTCATAAACTCTTGGTAAATGAGTGATTAGAACTAATAGAAGTCTGGAGTTCCGGTTCGAGTAACCAGAAAATTTTGATAAAGTATCCATCAGATATAAATATGTTCAAGAGAAACAAATGAAATCGAGTCCACACTATAGATTTTAATAAGATTTTTAAAGGAGCAATTATATGCATGATTAAAATATTATTATCAACATTGTCACTATTAATATATCACATAAATATGTATGTAGATTTCACTCGATATGCATCAGCAAATATTACTGATGTTTTCGCTTTTCTCTTTTCTATCAAAACTAAAAAGAAAAACTACCCTTTGTGAATAACAACTTCTAAGTATTTTCATCAATACCAAGAATATATACATAAATTACAAGTAAATAATGTACAAAAATGTATATTTATATTAGAGCGAAGTAAAATCAATTTACGGATTGAAACTTTGATTGAAATCTAATTTAGAAATACAAACTCTCAGCAAAAGGATCAGGAGAAATGCCGAAGTTGAATTGACTGAGCTTACTGCTTTAAAGCAGTTCAGAAGTTTTTCCACTCGAAATGAATTACACACCATTTAATGATAACGAATAAAAGAATTGTATAGAATAATCCACTTCTAAGATGTCAGATAATTGCATTAAACTCCAACAAAAGCAGCAAAATATCTGAAGTTACATTGCATCGGACAAATCTATTCATTAAGGAAAGAGCTAATCTATGAATTCAACGAATAAAACAGACTGAAGCTAATAAATAAAATGATAAACGTTAGAACATCCACGATTATATCATTATGTCTTAGCATTACCTAGCTTTAATATTTCAAAGTTTGCTGCATTTGCACCACGTTAGATGAAAACTTCTACAACCCTAACTTTAATCTAAATCCAGCAGAGCAGAAACTCTAAAACGGTGAACTTTAACTTAGTACATATTTGAGAATCTTTACTTAACCATAGAGGCGAACTGAAAGACAATTGAAGTGACGTCTCCAAAATGTGAATTAATTCCCCGAAATAACAATCCAGCCTCTAAAAGTATCTTTCAGACATATTTAATTGAGTAAAGGGATAACTAGCAAGTCTCTACGGCTGTACACTAACTTGCAATTGACTTACTCCAAACTGAAACATATCCGGACATAAGTCTTCCTCTAACAAATAGAAACACTAGTAGGAGTAATTATTTATTTTGGTTTTAATCCTCTCAAATTCACGAATCAATTTCTTAGTGCTGTTACAAAACTGATTAAGAATGACGCCGTTGTTTTGTTTATTTCTTTTATTTTCCCTAGAACTTTCAATCCCATCCAATCTCATATTTAAGGGTGAATTGCTAAGACAAAAAATTAATGTAATTGATGGTTGTGAAGTTCTTTTGTAAATGCACATGAAACGATCTCTGTCATAGTCAATTTAAAAATTAACTTTAAGAATATATAAAGGACGTAACTTAATAATATTTTTTATAATTAATTTTTAAAATACTGAACCTGAAATTTTTATTTTTATTTTTTTTACAATTTGATGATCTCAAAATACTGATTTTACAAACATTTTAAAACATTGTAACTATATTCGTAATTAATTATATTTAGTGCTGGTTATCGTTTTTTTTCTTATAGACCGTTTGAAGAATTTCAGTATTTTTTTTGTTTTGTTTCAGAGTGCAGTAATTGTGTATTGTCAATTAATATTTATCTCAAACGTGAATGTGGACAGAAATGTTCTTTTAAATGATGTAAATTAGAACTTGAATCCGACATGGGTAAAGAAATGTACGAGAGAGCACTCGTATATATATATATATATATATATATATATATATATATATATATATATATATATATATATATATATATATATATATATATATATACTCCATAGTGTAAGATAAAACAGTGCTCAATCAAATAACTAAATTATATAATATATTTTTAAAAAATGAGGATAATACCTTACATTGAATGCACAACTATGAGTTTCAGGTCAGCGCAATTTTCAAGTGCTGATATGGCTTTTATTATATTATATTTTAGGCTATTTTTTATTGATATCTATTATTAATATTAGTACTTTAATTTAATTTTATTGCAGCATATTTTATTATTATTAATATCACTACTTTAACTGAGTTTATTTTAATATTAATAATATTAGTATTTACTTCATTTTCCTGAAAAAGTGTTACCCCCATGACTGTCAAACAGCGTCTATCTAAATTATTTCCACCTTCATTTTCAATTTTAAATGTTATTCAGGGCCTAAATTCAAATTTAAAATTAAACTAAAATTAATTCAATTAATTTAACAAAAATAATAATCCCACTCCAATAATGAAATATCTCGCAATAAACAAAAATATTAAAAAAAAACGATGTTAACCGAAAGAAAAATATCAGCACTTGAAAATTGCATTGGCATTAATTTCAGAGTTGAGCAATCAATCGCTTAATATTAACATTTTACTTAAGATTGCTTTAGCAAATAGCGTTATCCTCCAGAAATACGCTAACAATAAATCTCTTTTCTATATATAGAGACAACGTGTGATATTTCTGATCGATACCAAACAGCCCATCTTTATTAAAATTATCTTATAATTCGTACATAAATCGTTAAAATATTTCCATAACCTTTTTATAAATGACCTCAATATTTTGGAATTTCCCAAATTGCGTGTTCTTAAAAAATATTTCATTCAATAGATTTTTCAAGTGTTTTCAAAATCCTTCAATTACTGTTAAGGTAAGGACTGCTGTTAATCCTGTAGCGTCAACTCACGGGAATATGCCATATGCGGGGAAATTTTTCCTCTTATCTTCATTTTGATTGGTCAGGTTGACTGAGCAACATTTGGAAGAACCTTGTGCATTGTAAATTGATTTATTTTTCTTTAATTAGAGCAAATAGCGCATTGCAAAGGGACGAGACTTTTATGCTCTTCAGTTGCATTTGGCTTTATTAATTCCTAATACAGTCTGATTTTCCCAGCCCCCACTAAATATATAAAAGATACATTCCCTGCTCCCAAGAAACATTTCTACATTTCTGCTCTCCTGAATCCTGTAAGTGAACTTTTAGAAGTTCCTGATTAGTTTAGTAAACCCAAGTAAAAATATACGGTATATTTTATAAACGTCTGATGAAAGATCTACACGAACTTTGTCATCCAAATGTTAAGAAAGATGATGTTTCTTAAAAGAATTTGGAAAACATTTCTATATTTCTATACTGCTAATGAAAATAGATTATTCGTAAAGAAAACATAGTAAAGGATTTTTAAGAAATGTCGATAATAATTGGATTAAAAAATATTTTGGGCGTTAAATTCTTCTACTCTATTATAGGAAACTTGATATTTTTTCGCAAAAGATAAACCTATTGTGACTAGACACAAGAGAAAAAAGGCTTCTTACACCAACATAGCGAAAATCGATAACCATCCATTTGTCTCCGATTCATACTTTATGTGGCTTCAATATTACCGGAATTAGAACCAGAAACACTTACCACTGTGATGGCAAACTTCCTGACAATTGGTCAAGTGGTAAAATATTTTCAAATGCATTTCATTGACATTTCTTTCAACTATTGACAGACCAAAATTATTGAGATAAAAGCTAAGAAGAATCATACAGTTTTTCCTGGCTTCATTTTAGTCGAACAAAACAAAAGAAATAGTGGAAGTATTTGGTGAGAGCCGCTAAAGATTGGTCGAAAACGGAGCGTAGAGAGAATGTGTTAAGAGGATAGTGAAGTGTATCTTTAATCTCACGCCAATCTTCGGTTTCAAGAAACCTGAGAAGTGGCGGGATTTTAAAGTGTCTCAATCTAATAAGATTACTTTGGAGGTTAATATAAAAACTGGATACCATGAAAGAGAAGCGACAATGGAAATGTTCTCAGACTTTTCCAGGTCTCTGGAAGAGAATAATGTTCAGGTTATTAATTATCAGTTGAGGTCTTTACATATTGAGATCAATAGGAATGCTTCTTTTTCATTGCTGTCCTATATTCGTAATAATTACAAACAATATTAAATCGATAACAACTTTTATTATTATGATTATTATTATTATAAATCTATTTTTATCGGAAACGACAAAGGTTTGTGTTAATAAAAGCCAACTCGATATTTTCGAAAACACATTCTATACATTAACTTCTTAAGGAAAACCATCGTGTACCTCAGGCTTCAGGTGTAAGATTTGAGAAATGATCGAATCAAACATAATAATAATAATAATAATAATAATAATAATAATAATAATAATAATAATAAAATTGATTATTATACTCGTTTTAGTATGTAAGTATTTTTTAAATTTCATTTTCATCCTGTTTGAATTCATTTTATCTCTTAATTTTTTATTTTTCCACACTTCCAACTTCCGTAACTGAATTGCGCTTTTAATCTAAACATATGTGTTTATATATATATATATATATATATATATATATATATATATATATGTGTGTGTGTGTGTGTGTGTGTGTGTGTGTGTATGTATATGTATGTATATGTGTGTGTACATGTATGCACAAGGGTAAGAATCGTATTCACTGATTTCCTTTTTTTTTCCTTTTTTTCTTTCTTCGTGATAATCTCAAATATATGTCCACCTGATATTTCAACTGGCTGCGGTCATTGCGACTTAAGTTAGAACTTACTATGACCAATACCATTTCTATATATCTATTTTATCTCCATGAATATAATACTAAATGAGACACCTGGTCATCAAAGACGGAGAATTCCCAACCTTGGACCAAGTGACTCGATGCCACATTAATTAATAAAAAGAAACCAAATGATATGGACAATAAAAGAGTCATAGCATTTTTTCAGCACACTCGACAATACACAAATGAAAACCTCAGTTCAGTCATACCAAATATGAA